GAAAGAAAAAAAAGATAATGATATTAAAAAGATTATGAGTCGTTCGTGTAAGGATAGAAATTTCTAAATTTGATAATTTAAACTAGTGTTTGTTAATGATTATTGTTATTATTATTATTATTATTATTATTACTATTATTATTATTATTATTATTATTACCTTCATTGTTATCATGATTATCATTATCTTTAACACTATTACTATCATTGTTATTATTGTTTTGTTATTGTTATTATTATTGTTGTTTTGTTATTGTTATTATTATTTTTGTTTTGTTATTGTTGTTATTATTATTATTATTATTGTTATTATTAGTAGTAGTAGTAATAGTAGTATTTTTTTAATCATCATTGTTGTTATTATTGTTATTTATGTTATCATTATTGTTATTATTGCTATCATTGTTTTTGTTGTTATTAAGCTAAAAGTGTTTTTTTTTCTTTGCTGCTGTTTTGGCTTGAGGGTTGACGTGAGATTTTAAATGCAGTATATAAATATTTATATATACTCATTTATTTTCCCTCCTATTTTTTTCCATTGTTATTCTTCCTTCTACAGTCATTTATTTATTTTCTCTTTTTTTCATTGTTATTTTTTTTGCCTGTATTTATTTTCCCACATTTTTCATGGTTATTCTTCTTTCTCCATTTATTTATTTATTTTCCCTCTTTTTTTTCATTGTCATTTTCTCCTTATTCCGGCATTTATTTATGTCCATCTTTTTTATCGTTATTCTTCCTCTTATATTCATTTATTCATTTTCCCTTTTTTTTTTGTCATTGTTTTTCTTCCCGTCTTCGAAAATTCTCCCAAGGGGCGCGGAGACATTGCACATGAACGCAATTGCAGCTGATGCTACGCTGTTTCTAGGTCGTCGTCTCATTCGCTCGTTCCATTTTTCAGAATTCAAAGTATGTCAGGTTTTTTTTTCTCTCTCTCTCATTCTCTTTCTCTGTCTCTCTCTGTCTGTCTGTCTCTCCCTCTCCCTCTCTCTCTCTCCCTCTCCCTCTCCCTCTCCCTCTCTCTCTCTCTCTCTCTCTCTCTCTCTCTCTCTCTTTCTCTCTTTCTCTCTTTCTCTCTTTCTCTCTCTCTCTCTTTCTCTCTCTCTCTTTTTTCTCTTTCTCTCCCTCCCTCTCTCTCTCTCTCTCTCTCTCTCTCTCTCTCTCTCTCTCTCTCTCTCTCTCTCTCTCTCTCTCTCTCTCTCTCTCTCTCTCTCTCTATCTCTCACTCTTTCTTTCTCTCTCACTTTCTCATTCTCTCTCTCTCTTTCTCTCTCTCTTTCTCATTCTCTCTCTCTCTCTCTTTCTCTCTCTCTTTCGATGGGGGTGGAGATGGGGTGGGGTGGGGAAGGGAAGAGAGAGAAAAGAAAATGAGATTCGGTGAAAGTAATCATTCTGGCAGTGAAACAGTCCATCAGTGTGCTGTGGCCGTCCTTGAAACCCTCTCACGCGAAAGGGGGGGGGAGGAGGAGGGGGAAGGGCGGGGGAGGGAGAGAAGGAGGGGAAGGGCGGGGGAGGGGGAGGGAAGGGAGGGACTAGGGAGAAGGAAGGGGAGGGGAGGGGGAGGAGAAGGAGTGAGGGGAAAGGGGAGGGGAAGGGGAAGGAATGGGGGGAGAGAAAGGACAGAGCGAAAGGTAGAGGGAAGGGGAGGGAAGGGGAAGGAGAGATGAGGGAGTACGACGGAGAGGTAAGGGCAGGGGAAAAGGGGAAGGGGTGAGAGAGAAGGAGAGGGAGAGGGGAAAGAGACGGGGAAGGAGACGGGGAGGGAAGAGAGGGACCAGGGAGAGAAAGGGTGAGAAATTGGAGGATGGAAGGGGAGGGAGTGTAAGTGGTAGCAATGAGGGCGAAGGGCAAGGGGAAAGAGGAAAGAGGAGGAGGAGGGAGGGTGAGTTGGAATGCTGAGGTAGAGAGGGAAAGGGGATAGGAGAAGAGGGAGGAGAAGGAAAGAGAGATGGGGGGAGGAGAGAGGGGTGGAAATGAAGGGAGGAATAGGAGAAGAAAGGGCGAGAGAGAAAGAGGGGGGAGGAGAGAGGGAGGAATAGAAGGGGGGGAGGGGAGATCGGGCACCCAATAGAAAAGAAATTCTCCGCTTGTAAATCTCTCCATTGGTGCTCTATGTGATTGGTTGTTCGATTACTGTTTCCTTTTTTATCGTCTTTCCTCATAGTTCTTTTTTTATTATTATTTTTTATTTGTTTCTTAACTTAGGCCTCTTTTCTCAGAAGAAGTGCGCCCGTGCAGAGGCTTGCGTCCCATTCTTAGCGGTTATTGAATCACGAAGATTTTTTTTTTCTTCTTCTTCTTCTTCTTTTCTTCTTTGAATATTGTGTTTGCGAAAGGTGGTCCGTTTTTTTTTTTTTTTTTTTTTTTTTTTTTTTTTTTTTTTTTTTTTTTTTTTTTTTTTTTTTATTGGTTGGGGGGGGGGTGGAAGACGAATGTTGATGTTTGTTTTTGTTTTCGTTTTTGTTTGTTTGGAGGACGAATTTGGCTGTTTGTTTTTGATGTGGGTACTCGCTTGTTGCATATGTGTAAAAGCGTGTATGTCTGTAGACCAATATATGCATCTGTATTTATGTGCGTCTGTGCATATGTATATGTACGTATGTGTATCTATGATCTATGTACGTATAGATGCATGTATGTATGCATATGTGTGTTTGTGTTTGTGTGTGTGTGTATTTATGTATGTGTGTGTATGTATTTATGTATCTATGTGTGTGTGTGTGTGTGTGTATGTATGTATGTATGTATGTATGTATGTATGTAAGGATGCATGCATGCATGTTTATATATATATATATATATATATATATATATATATATATATATATATATATATATATATATAATATGTCTGTGTGTGTGTGTGTATGTATGTATACATGTATGGACATGTATACATGCCCCCCCCCCCCTTCCCCAAAATTAAAATCCCAAGACAGCACGCGACACCGACTCCGCGGCATCAGCCCTACCGTTTCGCTGCCGGTGGTCGCGGCTGATCGAATTTCAGAATGGCGTGTTTTGGCCTGATTTGCGGACGGGTCACACGCTCCCATTAGTGTCACGGGTCGGGTCGGGTCGCGGTACTTCCGGGTGGGGGAAGGGGGTGGGGGTATAGGTGGGTGGGTGGGCGGAAAGATGGGTGGGCTTGGGGTGGGTTGTATGGGGGGGGGGAGAGATGGGCGGGTTGGGGATGGGTTGTGTGGGGGGAGGGAGGAAAGATGGGTGGGCTTGGGGTGGGTTGTATGGAGAGGGGAAGGAGGAGAGATGGGCGGGCTTGGGATGGGTGGGTCAACTGTGTGGGCGTGGGGTCGATGTAGGGCGTATAAAGTGGGTAGGTTACTTCAGGGGGAGGGGGAAAGATGGGTGGGCTGGTGGGCAGATTGCGATCAAGAGGAAAAGGGACAGAGGGAGGGAGGGAGGGAGAAGAGGCGTGAAGATAAAAATGGGAGAAGGGAGGAGGGGGGAGGAGAAAATGGGTTGGTGGGTGGGTGATAGGAGGAGGGAGAAAGGTGGGGTTAATAGTCGGATAATGGGGGAGAAGGGAGGGGGAGGGAGGAAGGGAAGGGAGAGAAGGGAGTGGAGCGTAAAAGAGGTGAAGGAAGAAGAGGACGAGGAAAAGGGAATGAAGGAAGTAAGGAGGAAGGGATGATGACTGGACGAAGGAGAAGGAAGAGAAAGAATGGGGAAAGACAGGATGGTTCCGAATGGAGGGAGAGAGAGAAAAAAAAGCAAGATGGGTCGGAGGGGGAATAATAAAGGAAGAGAGGAGGTAGGGGAAGGCGAGGAAGATTTAAAAAGAAAAGAAAAGTGGAGAAAAAAGGTCGGGGATGAATATAAAACAAGAGAAATAAAGGAGGTTAATTGGGATCGGATGAGGTAAACGGAAGGAGGGAGGAACAACAAAGGAAAACGAAAATAAAGAGAAAAGAAAAGGAATGATAAAAATAGCAAGATACGAAAAGAATGAATGGCGAAGAATAAAAAAAAAACACGAGAAAGGCTGTAAGACAAAAGAAACTGTACGCAGAAAATTTTGTGTCTGTTCCGAGAAAATGGCGTATCGTGAGTGACCTCTTTGGCCCTGGTAGTTTAACGGAATTTAAACGCATGATTGGCATCGCGTCCCGTTCACTCGTTTCGGATCCTCATTTGTGGAGTTCGTCGTTGGTCTTTAACTTAAATCTGGCAGCGTATGTCCGTAGATTTTTGCCAGGAGGAGTCTAGCCCAAATTTGAACGAGTCATACAGTAAACTTCATTCTTGTTTATAAATAATAAACTGTACATGCTTAGTTTTTGTTTTTCGTTATGCACATTCTGTAATAAGTATATATTTTTTCTGGTTTGCGAGAAATTGTGAAGGTACTGGATATTTTTCCCCCCCTAAGACATGTTTTAAAAGGTTTTAAAAGATGCCTCGTTTGCGTGGCGGTTGGCGGCGTCTCCGGACAGGGTGGGGCGAGGGAGCGGGTCACGTGACTCCCGCTTATACGCAAGTCGGAGACCCTGGCCATTTACGCTGAAAGAAATTGTGATAAATGGTACCTTTCTTTTTTTTTTTCCTTCTTCTTCTTCGAGTTCGGTTCAACCTGTACCGGATTTCTATAATGGACGATATCTCGGTGATTTGTGACTTTCATAATTTTTTTCTTCTTCTTCTGACAGGGGAAGTTTGAATAGAAAAGGTGGTCGTTACGGAGATAAATTCACGTGTATTTATTGACTTTTTTCAGGAGGAAAGAAAATGCAATGGATTTCAGTACTGGGATCTAGACTTTACATTAATGATCTAGATATCGAAGAAATCTTGAATCGGATATACAGCTTTATTAAAGTAATAAACCTCTCCATTCCAGTTATATCCCGTGCAACTGAAACAATAAAAATATCGAATTAAATACACACTTACATTAAAATAATACATTTTTTTCCCATAACCTAACCGGATAGCTAAATGACACTAGACACTAAATCTAGAATTATTTGTACTTTCAGATCTACCGCGAGCTGGGACAAGACATGGAGGCGGCGGCAGTGAGTGGTTACAACGCCTGTATTCTTGCCTACGGACAGTCAGGCTCAGGAAAGACCTACACCGTCTTGGGACATAAGGTGAGGAAGGGCAGAAAGGGTGAGGGAAGGGAAGAGGGAGAAGGATAGGGAGAGAGATTTTAGTTTTAATCTGCACTGTAGTTTCAGTTATATATATATATATATATATATATATATATATATATATATATATATATATATATATATATATATATATATATATGTATATGTATATGTATATGTATATGTATATATATGTATATATATTTTTGTGTTTATATTCGTAATTTGCGCAATTTTTTATGGGGTTGTGGTATTTCTTTAGACTGATGTTGATTTTGTTATGTGTGATATTGTTTTCATTGGGTAAATATTGTTCTTAGATTACAGCATTGCCGCGCCGAGGAATAGCATCGATACTATTTCACATACGCACATCAATATCATCCGAAAGTTATATGAGCAGAATTCATTGTAACAGAGACATTATTGATTCCCAGAAGCGACATGGAACTCATTAATTCCCAAAATATCTTGAAGTACATACCACTGTCTTAAAATGAATGTCATGTCTTAGAATAAATGGCAATGTCTTGAAATGAACGCCACTGTCTGAAAATAAATACCACTGTCTTAAAGTGAATGTCAGTATCTTAAAATAAATGACAATATCTTAAAATGAGTGACAATGTCTTAATATGAATGCCAGTGTCTTAAAATAAATACCACCGTCTTAAAATGAATGTCGATGTCTTTAAATGAATGCCACATACACGACACAGAACTGAATGCCACTGAATCTATTGCAGGAATCTCCCGGCTTGGCCCCCAGGATATGCCAAGGGCTCCTCTCCCGCCTACAGCAGAGGTACGCCCCGGACGACCTCTGCGCGCAGGACTTCTCGCTCACCCTCAGGTAGGCCTAAGGGGAAAAATGGAAAAGAGAGAAAGAGAGGAAAAAAGGGAAAAGGGTTAAAGAGTCTGGGAACTTTGACGGCCGGAAGTTTGTTTATTTGTTTGTCTGTTTGTTTGTCTCTTCATTTTTGGTAGGTTTTGGGGGAGGTGATAGATGGATTTTTTTTATTATTATTATGTGTAGTTTTATATGGCAAGGTTGGTTTATCTTGAGAATAAATTAATAGTTCTTAAATCTGGAGATCTTATTATAGGAAAACCAATAACGAGTTTATAATATAATGAATGTTGACATCTACCCACATAGGAATATAAGAAACACGTGATTTATGATGATTAAAAAATAGATAGGCTGATATTTTTTTGTTTCTATCCAATAGGAATAGAAAAAAACAAGCTATTTATGATGATCTATTTTTTTTAATGTAACAGCCTGGTTGAGATCTACAATGAGAGGGTGCGAGACCTGCTCACGGGCAATGACCAGGGGAGGCACCTGCGGGTACGGGAGCATCCCCACACAGGCCCCTATGTTGATGGTGAGTCACTTTAAGAGAGATTTTTTTTTACGTGGTGTCTTTTTTGTCTTTCTTTGTTCAGGGGAGTGGGTTATGTTGATTAAGATTGGATTAAGGGCAGAACTTCGTGTATAGTGTAGTGCATTGTTTTGGAATGCATTTATTAACTGTTGTATATGGTAAATTTCGGTTCATTCACTTTTGGATTTAGACTGCCGTGAGCTTTTGAGTACAAAACTTGTGTAATTGAGTGCAGCAGAGTACAGATTAGAATACTTTTATTAACGATTGTTTGTGGTAGGTTTCGGTTTAGTATCTGTCTGTTTTAGGCGCGTTGGGTCATTCATTCCACCTTCCTTTACAGGTGTGACCCGCCACCCCATCACAGATACGAGTGAAGCGTGGGCGTTGCTAGAGCGTGGGCGTGCGAGTCGCAGTGTGGCTCCCACGGCTTCCCACGCCCATTCGTCGAGGTCCCACGCCCTGCTGACCTTGGATGTGACCCAGCCCGCCGCCCACACTCGCTCGGCGTTAACATTGGTTGACCTGGCAGGGAGGTACGAGAGAGAGAGGGGCGTGTGGTTAATGGTGGAGCAGAATGATTATAATGCTATGTGCTTTTCACTAGGTTTGATTTCCATGTATAATAATGATGTTTTTTATCTTTCTTTTACTTTTTTTGTCTAATTTAAGTTATGTATCCTTATCTACGCTATTACAGGGGAAGTAAAGATATCAATTTTCTAATAAGTAGTGCCGTTGGGGAGATTTTTTTCCCCACTTGCTCCTTAGAAGCGACATACACTAATTACTGTTTACTATTTGACAGTGAACGAGCAAGCGAGGAAGTCGATAAGACGAGGTTGACAGAAGGAGCCAGCATCAACCGCTCGCTCGTGACACTTGGCAATGTCATCTCTGCTCTAGGTAAAGTTCGTAAGAGAGATTCGAGAGGTTCGAATCTCTTGGAAGTGTGAACGTTATGCCATGGGGAAATTGGGAATAGGTTCGAATAATTTTTAATTTGAACTTTGTGCTTATGGGAAATTGGAATAGGTTTTACCACTGCATGTGACAAAGGCTGAATCGTTTGAAATAAACATTAATGTTGATGGAGAATAGGAGTGATATACGTGTGGAATTGCAGGCCATGGTTGTCCAGCCTTTGATGGACTGTAGTATTTGTTTTTCCTCATCACAATGTGTATTAGTTGTAAATCTTACACTGGATACAATGTCTTTCATTGTAGCTGACAATGTAGGGACTGATATACAACAAATCATAATAATATTCAGCATATTATTTATATAGATTATATAGCTTGCGTATATGTTCAGATATGCTTATTGTATCTTTGGCATTAGAGTATTTGGGTTATTAATATCTTTGTAGTTTGTAACTTGATGTTTGTGTTACTTCTATTTTGTGTAACCTCGGTAAATGGATGTCTTTCAGTGGAATTAAAGGCATTTATACTATCCATGTACTCAAAAACCATTTATAGTAGTCATGGATAGGAATTTATAATAGTCTTGTATTCGAAAGGCTTTTATTTGTAGTCTATGATTCGATAGCCATTTGTAGTAGTTATATTCACACTCATGTTATTCTTATCTAGTCGTTCACAAGGCTCGTGGCTGCATTTGCTGTGGTAGGTCTAACAATGACAAATTTGCATGCATAAAAAAATTTAAGTGGATATTGTATTGTGTATTACTGATAGTTTTTTTCTCCTAAATTGATTGCATCCTTTTTTATTGTTTTTTCTTTATTATAATGTAGGTAGTATATACAGTGTAGTTCTGTAAGTAAAATTGATTAAGATTTGAACTTGCTAAATGGTAGTATTAAAGACGGTTTTTATTATCAGTGAATTGATATTAAATCATATTTTATAGTATGCCTCTTTATTTTTAACTGAAGCAGATATAGAATTCTGTCTTTGATTTTCTATTCCATCTTTTATAATATAAAATAAATAAATTCATTAGCTACATTGCATGATAAATATTATTTTTAAAAATTGTCCGTGGTATAAAAGTTAGAGTATGTGTTATAGTTACTAATTTCTTGTCATATATCAGATATTTTAGTGTTAATTTCTGAGCAAAAATTACTAGGTCGAAGTCCCGTTTTCTAAGGGTTCCTCTATGGTAAATGGGAGTGTTAACAATTTTAACATAACCAACCTCTCATTAAAAGTTTTTTTTTTATAGAGATCAGATCAAATATCCCCTTATAATTCAGATAACAAATAGCCTCTCATAATCTTTACAACATACGAATGATAGAAAAAACTCATTAGTGGATCATATCTCACGCTTCCCCATCCATCCAACAGCTGAACGCGGTGCTGCCTTAGGATCCACGGTGGCGATGTCCCCCCTGGGCTCCAACCTCTCCCTGTACAGCGCCACTTCCCGCCCTTCCTACGCGCAGTCCCACACCACAGTCCCCGACGGATATCCTCCCGAAGGGCAGAGGAAGGCTTCCAAACTGCCCTTCATTCCTTATAGGGATTCGGTGCTGACCTGGCTCTTAAAAGACACGCTTGGAGGCAATGCTAAAACTTTGATGATTGCAAGTAAGTGGGCTTTTTTTGTGGTAGCTGTATTTGGATATTTTATTTTCGATTTTTTTTGTTGGGTTATGTATATAATGTGGTTGACGTTACATTTTTTCCTACGAAATACGAAGAACGACCCGATTATGACAGATAAACATTATTTCCCTTGAAGCGATGTCTCCGTCAAGCACTAGCTTTGCCGAGACCGTTGCAACATTACGCTATGCCACACGTGCGCGTTGCATCGTCAACATGCCCGTGGTGAATCTTGACTCTGGCACAGCCACTATCAGGAGCTTGAAGAAAGAAGTGGCTGCCCTTCGGAGGCTGTTATGTGATGCTAATGTAAGTGGGATGAATGGCTTCTCAATTGTTTTTATCCATTTCATGTGTATATTCAATTTCGGTATATTTAAGAAAATACAAAGCTTACATTCTTCATGGTATTATTTTCCTCTGTTTTAAAGTTACATATCTTTTGTTAAGTGAAGAAAATAAAGCTCATGAAGAGAATCCTCATTAAAAAAGTATGTTATTTGTTTCGTCACTAAACCCTTTTCGTTCCCCCTTTGGACAGCCTTCTGTCATGCAGTCACTTGGCGCAAGTGGAACTGCACTGCTGGACTTGATCTCAAACGCATCAACCTCGGACCTCACCCGAGACTGGATTGATCGCCTGCAAGTGGAGGCGGCGAGCGACCCCAAGAGAGTGCGGCGAAGGAGCGCCCCCGTCGGCCGAGGGTCCTCCGGCAAGATGAACCGCTCGACGTCCTCCCTCGTCAGCGTGGACGCGGGGCAGAGCTCGTGCGGGCCCAGGGACGTCATCGTGGAGACGGAGCTGCCCTACCTGCTCAATACGCTGGACGACCATAACGCCTCCAGCATCATTATTTATCATATACAGGTGAGAGTCGTGGTGAGTCGTAGATTGAAGTAGATTTTTTTAATAGGATTTATTTTCAGATTTGTTGCTGCATCTCTTTTTTTGGTAGAAATGGGGAAGAAAATCACAATTCCAGTGTTATAAAGTTCTGTAAGATTTCTTTTTATTATTCAAACAAAAAGGAAATGAGAGTTCTATAAGAGATTCTAAACTAAACTTGCATCATATCCTTGGGAATTATTATTTTGTGTACATTTGTTCATAGCGTGGTGCCAGATTCGGTTCTGTGTATTTTTTGTGATCCAAATCTAACCAGGATGTGCATAAGGAGTCGCACATATGTATTATTTATAAACAAACATAATTTGCACCTCAAGGTTCAATTTGTCGTATATTTTCTTTCTCCCTTCAAATCAGCATATTTTCTGAGTATGAGGGGCTTATCTTTCTATCAGTAAGAGTTTTCCAATATATTTATTTAGAAAAGAAAAACAAATACATGTTTCAAACTTTCGGAGCAGTTCCTTGCAGTAACATTGGCTTCTACTTAAGTTATATTTAAATAAAAAAAATCGTTGTATATTTGTCTACTAATGTTTTATTCAAATGGTATTTTTATCAATCGGATTATCAGCAGATACTTCCCTAATATTGCTTCGATTTATGTTCACTAGATCATGCATATATATAGGATATTCCATCTGTCATTTCTCATATCACGTTCCACTTTTATGCTAATAATAAACAGTATCATATTTATACATCATATTTTTATTTATCTATTTTCTTCCTGCATAGAGCGGAGCCTCTGTTGTGGGGAGTGGAGAGAACGCAGACTTGCACCTGAGCGGGCCGGGGGTAGCTCCGTCCCATTGCACGCTGGCACATGCGCGTGGTGCTGTTACACTCAGGTAAATATTTCCTTAGATGTTTGATTTGTTAGCCCAATGCCGCCGGGGGAAATGAATAAAAAATGGGGAAAATGCTGTATCTATATTTTTTGTGAAACGTCTTTGCACGTAGTTGGCAGGTGTAATTGAAAAATAAAATCGAAATGTGTTGAGTGTTAGTGTAAGAGTGTATTTGTTTTAGTTATCTAAATCCGTGTTATTTGGTCAATATTTCAGTTGTAAATGGCATTATATGGCTTGTCTTTAACGTGATGAAAGATTGTGACATCCATGAGAATGGCATTGTCCAAAGAAAATGTTCCAGCACCAAAGGAAAGTGATTTTGACATAAAGGGAAGAAAATGCCCATTCTTGAGGGAATGGTTGTTCAAGGTATCTTTAAAGGACAGAAAGCCATGAGGAATGTTAAAAGGTTACTTCTATTAAGGTTACTTCTATTAATATTATCAGTAAGAAGTTTGGCTGGTATGGTATTTATAAAAAAAAAGTGTTTGCTATAGGACGATCGGAAAACAACAAAGAACCATTTCCATCAGAGAGGATGAAATGGGACATTTCCTAATACGATTTTGTTAACTATTACTTGTTATTGACTGCTTTATAAGTGGAAAATCATATAATTCCCTGAGAAACTGGAGGGGTATAGACCATTTGAAAATCATCTGTTATCAATCTCAAATTTATCAGTGAACCACCAGAAAAAAAAGACGTTCTCATCATCAACACACAAGATTCAAACCATCATGAGACAGAGTGCGTTTTCATTTTCCTGAAGAGATGAACATTTCTGAAATATGATAATGAATGTGCTTTGTCCCAACAGGTGCTTGACAGGCTGCGAGGTGGAAGTAGACGGCCAAGTGCTTGCGGAAGGAGGAGCCAGGAGACTGAAGGACGGAGATGTCATAACTATCGGGTCTCGGGCCTTCACCTTTCACACGCCGACGCGGGCTCGACCGAGGTCCAAGTCCTGCCCACGTCATGAGGTGAGCTGTCGGGGGATTTTGTTTGTTGTTTTTTGTGTGTTTGTTTCTTTATTTGTTCGTTTGTTTGGTTATTAGATGGTTGTATTTAGTTATGTGTTTCGTTATTTCAATTGCTTATTCATATTTATTTATCTTTTATTTTTGTTTATTTGTTTGTTTATTTATTTATATATTTATGTATATATTTATTTCTTTATTTATTCATTTTGTTGACATATTTATGTTATTATATTGTTCATTCACTCATTAGTTAATGACATGATCATTTTTTTTAATCTATGAATGTCCAAACACATACGAAATAGTACGTCAATACACAAAATATAGCGAACGAATTGAGTAAGACGTAATTGCAAATGAAACAAAGCAAACTCCATCGGAAGAGAAGACTAGCATTTTACACTGAATGTTCATATGTTATGTAATATCTTCAGTGGGTGTGTTTCCATGGTCAGATGGATCCATTCAAAATTCAGACCGTAATGCGATGGTTATAGCAACATTGTCTTTGTATTTTTGTAATTGGGTTTACTATTGAAAACATGTTATTGAATCTGCTAGTTTTCGAACTTTTTACACATTTGATGTCTGTGATGGGATAATAGCCTCTGGATTTCTTACAATTTATACATTTGATGTCAGTGATAAGTCATTAGCTTTTGGATTTCTTAGCTTCTTGAGTGATCACTGCAGTTTTAGAGTAGTTATACCTTGGAACAACAATGCCTGTAGTTATAATACATGTTTGTAAAGGCATATTTGTAAAATTAAATTAGTAAAATTAGGATGATAAATGGATGAATATTCAAACTATAATGTCACTACATACTATATATACAAATTTTTGGGTGCTATTGAAAGCATAGTGGTAGGCATGGTAGTAGAAACAACTAAAATGAATCGGGATTAGTAGTTGCCATATGACAGGTGATGTTGACGGTGTCTTTAGCGTGTTTGTTTTTCGTTGTCTGTTCTTCAAGGAAATCGTCCCTTCGAAAAGATGTGATGATGGTGTTCGTGTTTTTTTTCCTTCTCTTTATTTTTTTTATTTTTTTCTCTTTTATTTTCTTTTGTTTCCTTTCTTTTCTTTTCTTTTCTTTTCTTTTTTATATTTTCTCTTTTCTTCTTCATCACTTCTTTTTCTTGTTTTTCTTTTTATTGTTCTATTTATTTTCTCTTTCTTTTCTTTATAAATTTATTTTCTTTTTCTTTTCTTCTTTTTCTTTTCTTTATAAATCTATTTTCTTTTATTTTCTTCTTCTTCTTCTTCTTCTTCTTCTAATTCTTCTAATTCTTCTAATTCTTCTTCTGTTGCTTCTTCTCCTTTTTTCTCATATTGTTGGCAAAAAAGTGTAAAGGGATTTTTTTACGGCATGTTGGTAATGAATATGCAAATGCAGCGACACAGCAAACTCTGGGTTGTGAATCGGCACGTAGGACAAAACAGCGATGACAGTTGTAGTCATGACGTGACAGGGATGATGACTGTAGGCTGCCTGAGGTGACTGAGCGAGTGCACCGTCCGGGGAAATGTGACTGATGTAATCCAGTTAGGGTTTGGGGGGGGGGGGGAAGAGTATTGGAGGGGGGAGGGGAGGGGAGGGGGAGATGGGGGAGGGGAGAGGGGAGATGGGGGAGGGAGGAGGGTTAATGTGGATATGAGGGGAATGTGGGAGGGGGGAGGAGAAGGGGGGTAAGAGTGGGGGTGAGGGGAGTGTGGGAGAGGAGACGGGGGGGGGTAGGAGGAAGCTTAATGTGGGGGGGGAGAGGGTGAATGTGGGGGTAAGGGGGGGTGGGGGGAGGAGGGTTAATGTGGGGGGGAGGAGAGGGGGAGAGATTATCTAGGGGGTTAGGGAGGGAGGGGGAGGAGGAGAATGGAGATCATGCCGACGGTTGTCTCAGTCTCACCCTCACGCCCGTGCCACTCACACACGCCCACGCCTCGCAAGCAGCGCCCACGAACTGGTCCTCGAACTTGATTCTTATTACCCTTTTGGCTCTGACTTCAAACTAGGGTAATTATTCTGTCTGATTATCCCCGCGTTCGTAGTAATGAGAATGAGAAGAATTTTAATTAGTAGAATTGGCTATGACGTTTATCGCTACACGCTGTTCAGATTTGCTTCATTACAAGCCAAGTATTTGTAGTCTTTATTATACTTACTTATACTTACTTTAAGCGTGGAGATTATTAATCATTTGCATTTTTTTGGGTCATTTTAGTATACTTATGATTAATGATCGGTAATACGTTGTTGTTGTGTTTTTTACATGGTTTGTTTATATTTGGTGACGTTACAATCAAATTGATTATAATAATTGCGATTTTGACAAGGTCCATAGATGTTTACGTATCAAACAAAACCGGAAGATAAAAAAAAAGAATTGTGTCAGGGAAGCACTTCCAGTAACTCATATTATTCATTATTTATTTTATGATTATCATCTTTCTTTACACCGGAAATGGGTGCTTTGATACGCACGGTGTAGAGAAAAACGATAATTATAAAAAAAAATGAAATAATTAAATCCGTAAATCAAAATCTGAGACATTCTTGTATTATTAAAATAACCTCAGTCTTTGCCAAGCTATTCAGAGCACCTTAGAGAACCCCCCCCCCCTCCTTCAGCCCATAAAAAGTAGGTAAGCTACATGTCAGACATAATCAGAAAACCGGCATACGATGGTTCAGCTCGCCAGTTTACTTTGCATTAAAAGAGAAAAAAGAGAAAAAAGAAAAGAAAAGAAAAGAAACGAAAAAGAAATATATATATATATATAATTTCCCATATCTGTAAAGAGTTTCAAAAACTACATGAAGTACAGTCAGTTCCTCACTGAACACAAGTAAAGGTAACAATACATTTTTTTTCCTGACTGTACATACGCCACCCTCCCCCCCCCCCCATTCAGCCCATATGAAACAGCCCAGACGTCAGCCATCATCAGGAATCCGGCCTGAAGTGGCTTTGCTCAGCAGATTAGTAGGTTGAACAGCGGTGTTTCTTGCGTCACGCTGCGCAGGACGCTACTCTTGTGTCATGCGCTGAGGTCGGCACAATATGACGTCGGCTCAGCTGTGACCGACGCGGGGGGGGAAGGGAAGGGAAAGAAAAAGAAAGAAAGAAAGAAAGAAAGAAAGAAAGAAAAAAATATGCGCCC